TTTCTGTAGCCAGCACCTGTTTTCAGGACTTACATTCCTAAGCACAGCTCCCATTGCTCTTGCATCCTATTACCATTGGGGAGACTTTGAGCTAGCAAATGTCAATTTTCAGGTAACAGCATCACTAAAACAAGTGATTTTATGACATGAAAATCTGGAAATACATGTCTCTAGTTTTTTATTCCTAAGAAAAACATGCCTTTAGAGAAGAGAAGGAAATTTAGTAGGGGCTCATATCTCAAAAGATTTTATTTTGCAGTAAATGCTTGAGTGCATGAGTCCACTTAAATCCCATCACAGAACTGAAGTAGTATGTTGCTGAGACAAGAAACAGCCTTTTCAACTGAGGGGAGAGAGGAAGGAGTAAAGTAATTTCAATATTTTGAAAGATTATAAACAAATAACATTCTAAGAGGCTGCTAGGGAGTATTCTGCCAGGACCCTTCCCTGTCAGGTGTTACATGTTAAGCTTTCATCCTCCTCACACACCCTCACTGTCTGTAGTTCAAGACGTTTTGTATTCAGAACTCATGACATAAATTGTGCTAATGTTGAATAAGCAAGTTATCAAACATAAATCAAAAAAAAAAAAGAAACACAGGCCAGAGAAACAGGCCAGCGTGCCTGACATTCAAAAGCACAGCAGAGCACCCCTCACATCTAACAACAGCAACCATTTTAGCCACGCTGGGCTCTGTTGCTGTTTTTGTACATTGAGGAAGGAAAAAAGGTCTCATAAGGCTCTGACCTGCAAGATAAAAAAACATAACACACATCAACATCTATGAGTCAAGCTTCTTGTCTGAGCAAACAGCAGTACTCACCTTTTGATCTTCTGTGAATTCTGAGTTGTTGTGCTGAGACTGTGCCTCTTTCTGGAGGTGCCTGGCTAATCTGGATGGGGGAAAAGAAAATTGTAAAGGGGGAACACAACACAAACACACACACCCCAGCTCCAGAAAATGTGTCAGCCAAAAGGTTCACAGACTGCTGCTCCAAAGAGGTTTGGGTTGGTTTTGCTGTTGTGTTTTTTCTTTGTTTTTGTCTTTTGAAACAAAGATTTCTATAGCCATGGTAGTTCATACTTAAGAAAAAACTCCAGAAGGTGGACAAAGTATGCAGCTACTTTAGGCAGGAAAGACTAATGCATCATGAAAGGAGAACAGGTAAGAGGGTCATTATAGCCAACAGCCCCTTTTACAAGCACTGACTTTTTTCCTCTCACAATCCCTTTCTTTTATAATAACAAACCACAGCCCCTGTGAAGACCCACTGTGGTGCAATCCCACATGCATTTCCTGGGAGAGGCTGAGGCAAGGGAGATGCCAGGGGGCTCAGGTGAGGGCACCCTGGCACACGCTTTCCCAGTACTGGAAGGCACAGGGCGGCTTGGCCCAGGCTGCCAGGGTGGATCCGCTCACATTTGTGCCTGTCAGCATCACAGGCGGAGCACAAACCTCACGCCTTGTCATCAGCAAAGCAGGAATACCAAGGGGTTTGGAAAGTAACAGTAAGCAAACAGCTCGAGAGAGCGAAAAGAAGCTGGAGGAAAGCTATGGGAAGAGTACAGTTTCTGTCCCAGCAGGAAGGAGAACATTAAACAGGCAAAACCTCTGGGCACTTGTTGCCATTCCCTGTAAATAATGTTTTTTACAAGCAGAGGGAGAGGGAGGACAGGGGTGGAGGGGAAACCCAGGGACATCACAATAGGCTTCTTCCTGGAACCTCACCATTTTGAACTGTGAAAGGGACTTTGCTTCTCTCTACCACTGCTGTGCGTATTGGCACAGCTTTAGGAGGCGCTTATAAAATATATACACCAAGATACATCCAGCAAAAGAGATTGTTGTCAAAGCCACAGGAACAAAAATCAGAATTCAATTTCTTTACTTTTCCTCAAAATCAGCTCTCAAAAATGCCTATATTGATTGAGGCCACTGTAGCTTTTAACTCTCCAGGAAAAACACAACCAAACAGGATGAGGTAACTGCACAACTTGGTAGTATTGTCCCACTTCAAAAAATGGGAGAAAGATTGGGGCTGAGGAAAGACAAAAAGCATAAACATACTTGAACACAAAAGTACACTCCTTGCCTACTGCCCTGCCCTATGATACACAGGACACAGAGAAAGAGCATTATAATTATTTAAGAAAACAGATTACCATAGCAGCAATATGCCACCCACAACAGCCAGCATCACAGCATTAACATTTCTGCAAGCATCACTAATACAACCCTCTTTCCATTTGTCACTAATACAAAAAATATCCACCCTAAGCCAAATAAATGCATCTGGCATTCCCCTTGAAGCTCGTTCAAAGTTAGATGAGACCAAGTTCCATTATGGGGATATTTAACAGGGAAGCCACTGCTGACAGCTCAAAGGATTCCTGCATGAATTCCCAATGATTGAGGGCCAGTCTTTGTACCAAGTTTCTTGTACTTCTAGGGGCAACATGAAGACCTGAACAGATAGAGACAGGAGGCACATAATTGTGCTTTTACATCAGCAGCCATCAGGACTCATATTTTTCCCAAATCCAAGCTTTCTCAGCATCAGCAAGCTCTGTGTAAGCAGCTTCTCTCCAGGATGCTTGTGTGGATCAGCACAGACTGTGCTGATGTTCACAGCACCTGGACAAGAGCAGCACCACACCTGTTCATCCCGTCTCAGGGTGCCTTTGAGAAGGCAACACCATAAACCCATCCTGCAATGTCTCTCCACAACTACAGCTCAGTATCTTTTCCTGTGCTGCTTGTTTGCAACTTCTATCCTACAGCTTGATATTGTTATTATTTATTTACCTGCTATAGATACAGGATAAAGAAAATATACACACAGAAAAGGTTTTGCTCCTCCCTAGGAAATATCTCCCTGTAATCCCTTGATCTTCTCTCTCCTTTCTACTCACTCCTCAGACCACAGAGCTCATCTACTGACAAGTATTTAGTAGAAACTCACTGATAAGAGCAGCTTCCACCCAAGAGGAGCTTCCTTACAATGACACCACACTGCTCCCAGGTCAGAACAGAGCCAGGGTGTGGAGATCACCTCAGCTCTTGTCCAACACAAGCAACAGAGTGAGGAAGGCAACAGAAGTGGCACTCCAATTCTCAAACTGGACTGCCGGCAAATGTTTAGTGACCTCACTTCTCAATGGACAGAGCTCAGAAGGAGAGCCCAAAGACTTTTCATTCCAAAGAAACATCATTATATGAAACTCACTGCTCAGACTGGTTAGACGGTTTAAAGAATCAGGATCGTACTGGACTCCTTGTAGACATCCACATAAGGGCAGTTAGTAAAAATATTTTACTTCTTGATGATTCTTTTTTTCTGCTGAGATACAGATCTGGAAGAGAACTTCTTTTCATCTCTCTGCCAAGGTTTGTAGAGTAACAGCCTGCCCTACTCTAAAAGCCATCAGCAAACTGCATATCACTGAACTTGCAGTGACAAGTAACACTTCATCCTTCCTGGTGAGTGAATGAAATTTTGAGATTACAGCCTCTCCTGACCACCCAGTAAGTGGCCAGCTGACCAGTTTCTCTGAATGACAACTGAACTGGCAGCCGGCGTCATTAGAACCCAACTTGACCTGCACTGAAAGGTGCTAAAAAATCCCTCAGGGAGCATCTCTTCAGCTGACTTTCTCTTGGCAAACAAGTGTGAACCCTCTTGTCAACTTCCAGAAAATTCACCATGAGAAGCCTGGCCTGAAATACTGCAACCACAAAGAAATAACTTTCATTGTCATGGCAAATGGAGTAGTAGGGAAGAACATCTGACTAAAGGTACCAGGTGTGTTTCCAAGGAGTCCATCATCAGTGCCCTGCAGCCGATACTCCTCTGCTGCCAAAGGATTCATGGATGGTGCGGTCACACCCTGTGCCAGCCAACTTGACTGGAGCTGCCAGGTTCCCCTCTCCCACCCTGGTACCCTCAGGGACAAAACACACAAGCATGTGCTGGACACCTTTTCATTCTGATGGGTTGTGTGGGGTTTTTTGGTTAAGGCTGATACTTAGGCAGCCCACATGCCAGATTGCTCCACTGCCACAAGCATGGTGCCAGGGCAACAGGGCGATGGGATGGGACATCCTGGTCCAATCGTGCATCGGGGCTCCACCAACCAACCATTCCGGCAACCCACGCTCTCAAAATCACAACCTTGTTTGGGGTGAAAGGGACATTAAAGATCACCTTGTTCCATCCACTGCCATGGGCAGGGACACACCTTCCACCAAACCAGGTTGCTCCAAGCTCCACGGCGGCCGCTGCCACCCTCCCAAGAGAGCAGGACGGCCGGCTCCCGCCTCGCACCCCGGCCGGGCACCCCACGAAGGGACTCCTCGGCCCCTGGCCCTGCATCTTGGGGAAGGGCCAGAGAAGCCAGCGGGGGCCCCACGGGCGAGGGGGCCGCGGCCGGGGCCCCGCGGGGCCCCCCTGCCGTGCCCTGCCCCGCCCCAGCCGGGGCCGCTCCCTCACCCCGGCGCCTCGCCCGGAACTCCGGGGCCATGCCGGGCCCGCACTCACATCTGGTACTCGTCGATCGCCTCCACGAGCTGGCCCCAGGAGTCGAAATCAGTACCCTTCCTGAAGCTGGCGTCCCAGCGCTGCAGGAGGCTGCGGGCCGCCTCCGACATAGCCCCAGCGCTAGGGCACCATGCTCACCCCGCGCCGGGGCATCCACCGCGCCAGACAGCCACGCGTTACGGCGCGGCGCGGCACGGCGCGGCACGGCACGGCCCCGGGACACCCAAGCGCGGCGGCAGCGGCGGCAGCGGCGCCTCCCGCCCGCCCACACCGCCCAGCCGGGGAGGCGGCGCTGACCGCACCCGCCCGCGCCATCGCTACCGAGGCGAGAGCGCCACTTCCGCCCCGGTACCTGTCATGGCGCCGATCACGTGCGCATGGGCGGGGCCCGGGCGGGGTCGCTCCGTTCCTCCCTCCGTTCCCGGCCGTGCCGCCACCGCAGGCCCGCCCCCAGGTAAGTCCTGGGACCCCTCTGCAGCACGGCGGGTGGCTCTCGCCCCTCAGGAGGGCAGGTGTTGTTGCTGGTTTGCTGGCGTGCCCGTTCCTGCCGGTGTTGGTGATGTTCAGGGGTCCTTCCTGCGGGAGGACTGTGGACCCCGGCCGTGCCAGCGGCCGCTGTCCCGAGGGGACGCCCTACAGCCGCGGGGCTGTTGTTGGCGGTGGCCCGGGGACTCCGGTGGGGAGGAGGACGAGCGGCGGGGTCGATGCTATCGGCAGCGATGGGGCGGTGCCATCGGCTCTCGGCTGGCGCTGCCTGCGGCCGCGGGCGCGTAACCCACCGCCGTGAGCGGCGGGGCCGGGCCGGGCCAGGCCGGGGTCCCGCGGCCTCGAGATCCTCTCAGGGACCGTTCCGGGCCGGGCCGCGACACCGCGGGGACAGCAGCGCTGCGCAGGTGGGTGATCACGGCGCGACAGCCGCTGGCCTGACGGACAAGCCCCGAGAGGTGCCGGCGCGATGAACGAACCCCCTGCTCGGTGTGGGGGATCTGGGCAGTGGCGGGGAATCAGTGCTGGCAGATTTTTTTGGGTCTGTTTTGGTTTTGTTTGGTTTTTTCTCAGCAGAGCTGCAGAACATTTTTGCAGGGATGAACTGAAGGGATTCCAAAAGGACCACGGGATGATGGAGACCCTGGGGGGGCCTCTGGTCCACCGGCCTACTCAGAGCAGAGACAGCTCCGAGGTCACATCAGGGGCTCGGGGCTTTGTCCCGTGAGGTCTGGAAAACCTTTGAAATTGAGAGTACACCACTTGCTTCTCAGTTTTCCTGTCTCATAGTGACCTTTTATTCAGTAGGGCCCTCCCATGTTCAGGATGTGTCCAGTATGTTCCATTACCCCGCACTGCTGTTGTAAAACTCACTGTGATGCTTGTGTTATATTTGTCTGCTGAAATTGAAGCAAAAGAAGAGAGAGACTCGGGTTTGTCTCTGCCCTCCCAGCCTTCTAGGTCTGAAACACCTGTGTAAATAGATCTATGTTTTCAGTCAGGGTTTGTGGTTAAATAGATCCACGTTTTCAGTCAGGGTTTATGGTTGCAGGTTCATGTACACCAAAGGCTCCCAAATACAAGCTATTCACAGATGGACCAGATACAGTATAGTGCTCTCAGTGAATTGAGATTTAGTCTGGAAAGGAGGAAGGAGGCTCGGGGGTGACCTTATCACTCCCTACAACTCCCTGAAAGGAGGTGGTGGCAAGTTGGGGATCAGCCTCTACTTCCAGGTATCAAGTGACGGGATGAGAAGAAGTGGCCTCAGGCTGTGCCAAGGGAAATTCAGGTTTTGCATTAGGAAGGATTTCTTCACAGGAGAGGTTGTTAAACATTGGAATGGGCTGCCAAGGGAGGTGGTGGAGTCACCCACCTCCATCCCTGGAGGTGTTTAAGGAAAGGCTGGACATGTCACTCGGTGCCATGGTCTAGTTGACATGGTAGTGTTCTCACAAAGGTTGGGCTCAATAACCTCAGGGTCTTTCCAACCCAATTGATTCTGTGATTCTGAGATATTTCTCATGTAATTTACAGGTATGATCATCCTTATGCAGGAGGTAACAAATGTGGTGGTTTTTTTCCTAGCAATGTGTGTGCTCACATAGAGCAAAGTAGGTGGTAGCTTTTTGCCTGACTTAAAACAGTTGCCTCAGAAAGCATTTGTATTTCAAGAGAGTGCAATTCTCACACAAAGCACATGGATGATGAGCACAAGGCATATGGAAGCTTGGCATTTCAAATGGGACAAAAGAAATTAATTTCAAATCAGTTATTTACATTTGGAATATCTTTTTGCGAGCGGAGGACCAGGACATGGGCAGCACCTCAGTTGTACCTGTTCCTGCAGCTGTTCTTTCCTTTCCCCTCCTTAGATTTGGCATAGACAACACTGCAGGAAGAAAATGACCCACTGGTTCCATCGCAACCCTCTGAAGGCTACAGCTCCCATTTCATTTAATTATTATGGGGTAACCACTACTCCAGCTGCAACAAAGGTTTGCAAGTAAGTGTACTTAGGACTGGTTTCAATCTGCCTCTTACAGTTTGCGGGACATCCTTAAAAGTAACGGTTGCTCTTCAGTTTTTGAGCTGAAGATGACTAGAGATGTGTAGGCAAGGAGGCAGTAAGATACTGCTAATACTGAACATTTGCTTACAGAGAATGAATTCTGCAGTCTCTGAATGCACAGTGAGGCCAATTACAACAATGGAGAGGCAAAAGACTAAACACTTCATGGTCTTTCTGATGACTGTGCATTCCTCTGCAGAAGATTGCTTAATTTCCATAAGTGGATAGGCCTGACTGTTCTGTTGTGGGTGGGAATGTAATGAAAAGGGACCTCAGCCTATTTTGCAGATCTATTCTTATCTGTTCATCTCATCATCCCATTCTAATGTTGAAGAATGTTCCTGCTTGTTGCTTCCCCTTCCTCTCTGTACACCCAACCTCGTGGTAGGTAAAGGCACAGTTATTTTAGTTAGTGTTAGGACAGTAGATTGTGTACTGATTATCCACTGCTGCGTGTCCAGTCATATGTATCCAGAGGAGAAAGGAAGATTTTTCTGTATTAGTACGTTTTTAATAGGTTTTCTTAGGTTTTTTTTTCCTTTTTTTTTTTCTCCTTTCATTTAGTGACTTGCGGTTGTCTCGAACACAGCTATTGGAGCTGTTTACAGACTCAAGTTGTAATCCAGAAATTATGAAGAATGCAGCTGACTTGTACTTCTCACTCCTGCAAGGTAGGGAGATTTATTAGCAGTACTACTAATTCATCAAGAGAAGTATCAGTACAATTTTAATGGCACTTCTCAGAATGTTAATTCTGCTAATTGTGCTGATCTCCTGTAAAGAAGCTTTGCACTTCTTAGGAAGGAGAGTATCTTCATGGGTTCTGTGCTTGATACCAGTGCTGGCTGCTCAGCAGGCCTTTTCTCCAAGTTTCAGTGTCCTTTGTGACCCTGTCAGTACTACATGCTGGCAGCCTTGCCCTCCTGCCTTTAACCTCATTCTGCTTCCTGTTGGAGGAGAAAACGTGTATTTGTCTTTTAGGTAGTGGTGAGTTGCTCCCTAAGTATAAATTGAGTCTGTTAATTAGTTTATTTCATTTAGTATTCAGTGTAAACTGCTGGTTTGTCTAATACTAGACCATAGACTTGTTGCAAGTTTACCTTCTACTGCTGCTTATCTTAGGTATGTGTATATATGTAGGTGCTCATTAGCATGGTATCTGCATTTTCAGTAGATGGCTCAGCTGTGCTGACACATTCCTTTGAAACCTTCCTTCTGCCAATATTTGGGTAGCTCTTTCTTAGCAGTCAGGTGCACGGCCAGATTTCTTAGGACTGAGTTGTCAGGAATCAGCTGATTCATGGAAAGTGGGATCTTTCAGTCTGTGGGAAGTAAACATTGGTTTAATGAGCTCCTGGGAGGATGTAGGCTAATGTCACATCCAACAGCCAAGATCTGGATACTTTCTTCAGGAAAATATCATGCTTGGCCGCTAAAATCTTCTGCATTTGAAAGGAATAAGTATTTTCTGATTTTATAAACATGTGACACACTGACAGGTGTGTACACTGACAGTAGCTGCTATGGCAAGCTCTTGACCTCTTAAAGTCTGTAAGACCTGATCAGACCAAGGCCCCTCTTCAGCCTCACTAAAAAATTCCTGGGCCTGCTTATGCTAGGATTTGAACATCCCATAGTGTGAGCTTCATCCCACTGACTGCTGTTTTCTGGGCTGCAGGACTTAAAGAACCAGTCTCCTGTAGCCCTGGAGATAGGTGATGACTAAGTGAGACCATACTTAGAAGCTCTTTTCACTCTCCCTGTTGACCAGGCAGCTTTTCCTGGAATTTTCTGGTTGCCACTATGGTGGTAGAGGCAGCCATTTTGCTCACCTTGAACCTCAGCCATCCTGTACCTGGGCCAGTCCCACTCCCAACTTGTCACTGTATGGGACATGCAGATATCTGCCAGCTTTTCCTTGAACAGTCAAGATTCTCAAAATTGAGTTGGTAACATGCTGGGCAAGCGGTTTCCTGGAGTAGCCAGTTGGTTTTTTTCCACATTTTGTTCTCAAGATTCTGAGGAATAAAAACCCCAGAAAGTGACATGGGGTTTTGAGGGGTTCAGTGAGAAACATTCCTTTATCTATATATATATATCTATATTCATATTGATCAATCTCCTTCATTACTAATTTCTGTTTCCTACTTTGAGATTGCCTGTTTTATTATTCCATAGGTTTTATCCTTTCACTGGATGACTCTTCCCAAGAATGTAAATTGAGATATATTCAGAATTTCAAGTGGACAGACACATTACAAGGACAAGTCCCAAGGTGCGTGTGCTTTTCTGGGTGCGGGGTATGCAGCTGCTCTCTGCTGCTCTGTTACACACATGCACAGGCCTGAAGGGAAACAGAAATGCAGCAAAATCTTGAACACAAAGTAGTTTCTAATAAGGTGTTGCTGTGTTTTTGGTAACTGCTGTACTGTGTTAGGTGTTCTGAAGTGTGCCTAGTGGCCTTTATGTTAAACTGCGAGAATGCACAATAATGATAGAAGGATCCGTTGGGTCTCAGTTGATTTACAAACTGAACCTGCAGTTAGCTAGAGAAGTACGAAGAAGAGCCTTGAGGGTATTAGTGAGTTGAGCATGGTAACAAAGGTCACTGCAGTTTAAAACTTAATTTGGCACTATTGCCTGACCAGGAACTGTGTGTTTGGAGATTCCAATGTTGCTAAAGATCTGATTTTGTTCTTGTCCTCTGAAGCTCCATGTACATGTCCTCTTGGTTCAAACAAATAAATCTGTTTCCAGGAGGAATACAGATCTGTAACCTTCTGAATTATTCACTTGTCTTTTGCTATTGGAGGTAATTGTGTTGTATAATCATGTCTACAAATTTGTCAAGCTTTAGCTAGAAGTGCTTGACCTCCTCAAAGCTTTAATTCCCCATGGAAGAAAATCTGTTGATTAGGACTTTATTTGAATTTTCTCACGGTCATGCACACTTTTTCTTGTGCCAACATTACTCTTCCCACTCCCACATCTTTCTTTTTAAAAGGTGTGCTAGTTCCTAAGCTAAACTGAGCTTGTGATTGCAAGTTCAGTCTTTTGAAAGACTGTTTTTAGCTTTTGAAATTTCCTGCTATTTGCACATGCTGTTTGTCTGCAGTTACATAAATAATTACAATAACGTTAATTTGAGAGAGTTGTAACAGATTCTGACTTATTAACTTAGCAGTACAACTTTAAAGTGGACATTCCAGGGCAAGGCTTTCCACAAAATGTGCAATTGAAAACAAACAAACAAACAAAAGAGATGGAAAAATGTTAGCCACACTCAAAGCTAAACAAATCTCAAGTTACAGTTTTAAAATAAAAGTTCTCAAAAGGGAAGGGTGGGCATCTGAATGTGCTAGATTCTAATTATGTGTTCTTAAAGGGAATAAGTAAAAAAATTGCCGTCTCTCTTAGGCAGTTCAGCAAAGAAGGAGGTTCGGAATTGGAAATTGTTGACATCTTAAATGAAAAATGTTTTATGGAGAGAAGTGTTGACTTTTGCTACATGAGCTGTCAGAGAGATGTGAGAACAAAACTGAAGGCATTAAGTTTTTTGGGGGTTTTGTCTTTCTTTAGTGCCCAGCAGGATGCAGTGTTTGAACTGATTTCCATGGGATTCAATGTAGCTCTATGGTACACAAAATATGCATCAAGACTTGCTGGAAAAGAAGAGTAAGTGGTTTTCTTTACTTAAGAATTCTGCTGCAGCAATACTTCACCAAAGATTTAGCAGGCTCTGGGGGTTGCCTGCTATAGGAAATGTCCAGCTCAGGCAGAGGAGTTCCAGGAGGCAGTTGATCTTTACACAAAAGCACTTCAATCTGTTCTTGCCTCTGTAAACCCAGTGCAGTAGTACTACATGACTGTGATACAGAGAAAGTGTCAGTTGTCAATAAACCCTTCATCAGTCCCCCTCTAAATGTCCAGGTAGAAAAGTGAGATTCTTAACATCAGAGCTCTGCTGAAGTTTAACCCTACAGACCTCTAAATCCTTGGCTTCTAACACTGAGGTTGCCTTTTACTTGAGAGTCATCACAGGATCTTACATTTCTTTTCTTTCAAGCAAGTTCTATGTGATTATTTCATGATTGGACACTGTAAGAAACTCCTTTACTCTGAGGGTAGCACAGCCATGGGACAGGTCACTTAGGGAATTAGTGGACTCTTGATTCTTGAAGGATTTAAGATTCATCTAGATAAAGCCGTAACTAACCTGATCTGTTGTTGCCAGATGTGGTGCCCAAAGCAGGAGGTGGCACTAAATGACACTTAGAGTCCCTTTCTAACTATAATTTTACCAATTCATTCTATTTTCTCAGTATAACAGAAGATGAAGCAAAAGATGTTCACCGCAGCTTGAAGATAGCAGCTGGGATTTTTAAACACCTGAAGGTAGAAGGACTTTCTTTGCTGTCTGTTCTTTGAGGTGTCTCCAAATACTTGACTTTTTGTCTTAGAGAGGCCTTTACTATACACACATACCTGAGAGCACCTGAATGATGCAGGAAACAGAAAGGTATTAATATGTTGTGGTATCACTCAATCCCTGCAACTCATTCCCAGTGGCACTGGAAGAGTGGTTCGTCTGCCCATATCATGTGCTACATGTGCTGTCATGTGCTGTCTTGAGACCTTCACTCAGTGTGTCCCATCCATTTAGGTATGAGGCACTTGTTTTGCACTGTTATTGGGCCTAAACTAATTCTGAGACTTGCGTATTTAGGAAAGCCACATTCCAAAATTGATTACACCTGTGGAAAAGGGAAGAGATTTAGAAGCTCGACTTATAGACTCCTACATCATACAGTGTCAAGCTGAAGCTCAAGAAGGTATCTTCAAATATACATTGGTTGGGTGTGGGAAATGACTCTGTGCGTCACTGCTGTCTCATGAATTCTGCTTGGCAGCAAGACCATGGGTTTTTTATTCTCCTGAAGCACTGTGGCATAGTGGGGCAGGTTGCTTTTAAAGAAAATTATGTTACAATTATAAAAGGAAAACGCCAAAAATCAGTCTGATATTAAAATTGTAATATCTTACTTTGGAAGAACTTGTGTGTGGCATTACTCCTTTTTCCGGTTTCTTCCTTTCATGCAACCCTTTCACCGCCATGCTTGCCTAATAGACATTCCCAGTTCCTTTACTTTAAAATATGTGCAGCTTCTGTTTATTAGCTAATCTTAAGGCTAATATTCCTTCAGTTTTTCTATTAAATTGGAATCATTCTATCCAAGAAACAATCTATCTTTATTCTGCTGTTTGCTTGACTGCACAACATCTATTTTCTGTTCATGCAAGGGTTTTAAAACCCTAAATGCCTCTGCTGATTTGATGTGATGGGACATTTCAATTAAACTTAAACCATGGTGTGGAACTATTTTTCAGTCACAATTGCTCGGGCTATTGAGCTGAAACACAATCCAGGCCTAATAGCTGCTCTTGCTTATGAAACAGCCAACTTCTACCAAAAAGCTGGTGAGTATCTTGTTTTGTATCCTTAGTGATTTATATCCTTGATTTATGCTCTCTTGCCAGCAGATATATTTCACCTACCCATAAATTGCAATATTAATGCTGTTCTCGGTGGATATGGAGTGTGTATTTAGCTTCTATTTAGCACATTTAAGACTTTAGTTATCAGCATGTATTCTGATAAGGCTTTTTGGTTTTGTGGGAATCTTGTTTTGTCGCTGATGGTAGGAAACATTAGTGAAGGAAAACAGACTAGCAGCAGACAAATGGCCTGATGTCAGTGGAGTGTGTTCCAGCTGCCTTTGGGAAGCAGATCATGATGCAGAGCATGAAGAGTCGAATGGGTTCATTATGTACCACCTTCCAGATGAGTAAGATGATCTCTGGGCTTACTGAGGCAAGTGGGAGGAGTGCAGAAATATGGGAGTCACTACTGGAACTTAAAACTAGGAACAAGCTTTGAAATGCTGCCTAAACATACTTAGAGAATTAGCCATCCAGACTTAGTGGACAGCAGTTTCAGGGATTCTAGGGACAACTGCATGATAGCTGCATATCTTTGGTGTTTTTCTCATGGTTTTTCTGTGCTTTTGCCGGAGGAATTTTTGTCCCTTGTTTCTGGATACTTTAGAGTTAGGGTCTAGTGCTAAGTTTAAGAATTCTGGTCTTTTAATGTGTTTGGGGTTTTTCTTTTTGGAAATGTCTTAAGAATAACTTTACATATGTGTTCACAGATCAAACATTATCCAGTTTGGTTCCAGCCTATGCAGGTAAATGGAGGAAGTACTTAAACTTGAAGAGCTGTTTCTATATGGCCTACGTAAGTACTTTGGGTGGCAGCAGTGATAGCTTGTTGTCTGTCTGCCAAGGGCTGCATAGGGAATGGGGGCTAAGTAGTGCCTTGGCTTTCCTTGCTTACTGTGAAGAGGAATTGTGCAATGTCAGTGACATTTGAACTGTTTTTGTGGAGCCAAATGAAATTGCAGCAGTGTGGATTTGTTGTTATCACAGATCTTTAATTGAAACCATTCAGGTTTAGCATAATGGTGCTCTCTGTTATCTACATCACAGTCTGATCCTAGGCACAGTTCAGAGCTGAGCATCTTTATGAAGGCCCTGAATGAAACGGCATCAAGTACCAAAAGGTACCATTCCAAGAGCTGTCCCTATTTGCCTGATGGATCTCCTAGCAAGTGCTGCAGTGCCCTTGAGATCCTCAGCTGCTCAATTTGCTGTGTCTTGTAGCCTGCCACAGCCTGTAATCTGTCTTTTTTATACTGTACAAAAGGCCCAAGCTAAGCAGTCTTAGACATAATTGTCTTTCTCTTAAGCTGAATCTGTAGCTAAAATCTGCTTGCCTTAGCAAGTTTGAGAGGTGAGGGAGGGTCAGAGTTGTGGTACTTCTCTGTTTTTTAAATTTGTGTGATTTCTACTACTGGGCAGTAGTAGATTTAGATAGATTTGTACTGTGAGAACAGACGCTAAAGGAAGGGGGGCAAGGTGGGCATTAGTTGATGAGTTGATGGGGTTGTTCCTTCACCTGTTATGTTTACTAGTTAAACTCAGCTCCTGATAATAGATAATAGGCAATTCAGTTCTCACTGGAACAGAATACCACCTTCAAGCACAGGTGTGAAGGAATGGGACTTTTTGGGGGTGGAAAAGTTATTTGGACTATGACAAAACATCTTAGAACACCTCATCTCTTCTAGATTCAGTGATGTTTGTCGCAGATGAATTTTTTGAGTGTTCAGGTAGTTTTAGTTTTAAGTCTTAGCTTTGTAAACTTGCCTGGGGTTCATTCTCTTTCTGTGCTGGGGCTTGATGCTGCACACTGCTACAGTGGGAGCTTGGACTGGCCTGTGCGCCAGTGCCTCAGGTCAAATAGCTTTGTGCAGCTCAGTTACTCTTGGCTAGACCAAGTGTTCATGGTTTTGGTTCACAGTGTTCATGTTGAACTGCATTAATAGCTCAGTGAATGCTGCTTTGACTTGGAATCCCCAGCTGTCAACTACCTGCAGGAAATGACAGCTTTAAAGAGCTGCAGCTGCTGTAGGGAGCAGGAGGAGGGGATTGGTGCAGGAAGTGCCCAGGGATGTTGGTAATGATTTTGTCCTCTTCCATCAGGCATACTGTTACCATGGCCAGACTTTGCTGGCGAGTGATAAATGTGGGGAAGCGATCAGATCTCTGCAGGAATCAGAAAAATGTAAGTGTGGTTTAGACTGGAGTACTGAGTCTGATGATGCCATGCCTGTTCTGTTTGCCGTATTGTGTTAATTTGCTCTGCCGTAAAGATTTTATCAGTCACCTGTTGGAAATTCAGCACACCTTTGAAGAGAGACAGTGTATATTTTTTTATCTTACCAAATACTGTCTTTCATAACATTTCCGCAGAAAATTTTCATCTTCACTTCGTGGCCTGGCTTAAAGACTGGCTTTGAGCTGCCTGCAATATACAGTATAAAAACCAATGGTCATCCTGCTTTCTGGTCTGTATGTTAGAGTAGTACAGCCATTTCTGCTTTGGAGGTTAAATAGTAAATCTAGATCTTGCATGTTTATTTTTAAACAGTTTTTCTATTAATTTGAAAGGTATATTCAGGCAGTAGTTCAAGGTCTTCTTCCCAGTCTTCTCTCTTCAAAGCTATTTGTACCCCATTGGCCTGCATAACTTTACTGCAATGTATAAAAATGCTCAAATCTCCCAAGTGGAAACTTTAATATTAGTTTTTAAAATAAATCAGAAATTTATTAAGAACAAACTAAGTTGGATTTCTGGGAGTAAAACAAATATTGTTCGGCTGTTCAGAGAAGAGTGCTTCTTCTCCCACTCCATATCAGTTATTGTTGTTTGGTTTGGGGCATCAGCTGTGTGTGGACACCTTCATACCCTCTGTTTTTCCCTGCCATGTGGCACAGTTCTTGGGCTTATTGTTGCATTTTGCCCCACATATAAGAATGCTTTTCTGTATCTTCCCACCCAAAAAGCTATCTTCTTCTTTTCCCGTTCCTAGTCACTTGTTGAATGCAGTAAATCTTGGCTGGTTTTGAACTGGTTTGGTTTTGTTTCCAAGAAGAAAGAGGCCTGACTGGATTCTGGTGTCTTCTAAGACTGAAGCACTGTAGAGCAGAACCATGATTTAAGAAGGTCACATAAATAATTTTTATTTCCTTTTCTTTCTTGCAAAGTTTTTGCCAAGGCTGAAGCGTTGTGCAAAGAATATGGAGAAACCAAAGGGCCTGGGACTACTGCCAAACCTTCTGGACATCTTTTCTTTAGAAAATTAGGAAGTTTGATTAAGAACACATTAGAAAAATGCCAGAGAGAGAATGGATTTATGTAAGTAATTCATGGTTGGTACAGCACTCTGCATGAAGTGCTATGTCATTTGCTTTTATTTCAGGATGGGATGGTAAATTTTACTCTACAGGTGTTATATTACTTTAGGGCATGGCATGTAACTTACAGATAAATTTGCAATTGTATAATTTTCTCTGGGAAGATTTGCAGTGGGTCAGTGCTGTCCTACTCTGTATCCTGTGCCAGTTCAGCAGGGGGGGCTGGACTGACATCTGGAGAGGCTGAGCAGTTTTCTTCCCTCATTCCTCAGCCACCTGGTCAGGAACTGCACAGGACAAAATCTGCAGAAGTTGCCATGTTGCTCTAATGCTCTCTTCCTGTCTCCTTGGATCTAGTAGGCAAAAGAGGACAGAGGGGGAAGTGGAGAAGACCAGTAGGTGATTCTGCTTTGCAAGTAGGGAAGTCAAAACACGGTGCTGCTTTCAGTGAAGATCATGCTTAGGGTGCTAGGAGCTTTACCAGTCCAAGTATAGTTAATATTGTGAATAGGGCTTTCTGTTCATTAATGTCCTTCCAAAAAGGGAGATTTCAGCACATCCTTGTCCCTCTAGAACAAAACTTGGAAAGAGAAAGCAGGGACTGTTTTGGGAGAGCTCTGTGCAACACAGGAAGTGTCACAGTGTGTCAGTGTGTAAGCTCCTGCTGCCCTGCCAAGTGCAGAAGGACACCTGAGTCAGGCTTTGCCCTGTAGCCAGTCTTTGGCGGGCTGCTGTGTTACCATCATCCACTATGGCACATTAGGACTGTTTAGGAAAAGAATTGTCCTCTTCATCTTTGGAAAGTACTTTAAATCCTCATTTGTATTTTGAAAGGTTTTTTTGGACAAAAGATGCTCTTCTCATTGAAGCACTGGGAATAATGGTTATTAAGTAGGAGAAAGCCTGCCACATAATTAGGGAACAAACAACAATACTAGGAAGGAGTTGCTTTTGTTCTTGTGAGCCTTGCTGGCAGAATGCATGTTAGGCAGTGTCTTAATGAAATGGAAGAGAGCAGCAGTGCTTGCCACTGTGAAAACCCAGATTGTTTGTTTAGAACTGCAAACAAGACTTGCAGAGATGGTGCAGTGTATTTTAAATACATTTCTGTATTCTGTTCCAGCTATTTCCAGAAGGTGCCAGCAGAGGCTCCCCAGCTGGAATTGAAAGCAAACTATGGCTTAGTAGAGCCTGTTCCTTTTGAGTTTCCTGCTTTGAATGCACACTGGACTCCTGAAGCAGTTGCAGCATTTGATCTCACGAAGAGGCCAAAGGAGGATGCCGTAAGATAATCCCATGTGCTATTCTTTCCCTCTGTCTTTATTCTGTTTGTCATACAGAGTTAGCTTGACTCTTACATAACAATCCCCAGCTCAGTGTAGGAAGCAGACACAAGGCTACCACCTAAACTCATCCTTCTGTTGTGCCAAGGGCAAGTCAGTTAACCTCTGCCACACTGCCAGCATCTGGAACATCAGCTCATTTTTTACCAAGTCCTGTAACGTTACAGCATGCTAGAGAAAGATTATTTTTTAGAAAAGGATTCATTTAAAGATGCTGAAACAGAGAAAAGTTGTCTTTTCCCTCTTGCTTGGGGCTTACTCAAAGTTTTCAGCCTTGAAAAAGAGGGGGGACTCTTAGATTATAACATGTAAAGTTAGCTTTGGATAAATACTGTGCAGACACAGTGGTTTGTACTTGTGGTATTTAGTTGGGTTTTTTTTTTCTTCTTGTTTGCAGGCTAAACCAAAACCAGATGAAGAAATAAAACCTCTGAAGGAACCAAATATAAAGCCTCAAAAAGACAGTGGATGCCAGATTTCTTAAATGCCATAAGTGCTTTGAATTTGCTTTGAAACTCTATTCATAGGACTCTGGGGCTTTCATTCTGATCTCCTTTTTTTGATTCTCCTCTTTTCATTTACAAGGCTAATTTAGTTTATCTTTGTTAATATGTGTCTATCTTGCTTTAGATTGTGGTGGATTTCTAGGAGGTTATTTATATCTGACTTGCTTTTGGTTTCAATGGGATATCATAGAATGAGTGGGCTTAAATGTTCCTATTGTGCCTCTAGGGAGTTGCTTTTTGTGGGTTTAGTTTTACCCACAAATAACAAAGGAAGTATGATTGTAATGCTTGAGGGTTTTTCCATTACCTTATATGCTGTATCATGTCCAATTCTGCAAACAGAAGTTTGCATGAACAGTTATATCTATTCAAGTTTTGTCATTCAGCTTAGGACCCTGTTGTGTTCGAATTCACCTAATTGTAGTGAGGGAAGAAAATCTGGGTTTGGTTTATAACAGTCCTATGATATGTCACAGGACTTGCACAGAAGTTGGGAAGCCTCAAATTCTGCATAACAGGAGTACAATTTATGTTCCGAAACGATTAGCCTCTGTTCTTTCCTCTATAGATTAGGGTTTTTATATTAGAATTTGTAGTAAGGTACCTTAGCTTTGTCTGTCCTTTAATCCAAATCCCTTAGTATCAAAGTGTATCTGAAAGTGATGCAGCAAGCAATATGGAAGTGCTTTAAAGGAAAGCATCCCTGTGTCATTTGTTCAGAGTTTTTGAATCTTCAAAGCTTTGTTAAGTTTGAAGGCTGCAGACAGTTCTAACCCCCTACACTGGAATTCCTGAAGCTGTCATGCTAAGGTAATGGATTTGGAAGTAAGTTGCTGTATTTCCAGATGGGTGGTGTCTATAATAAGCTGTCAGGAAAACAGGAAGGAAAGACAAGCTGAAGAGCTGATAGCACAGCTGGGAAGCCATGCTCTAGATTTTCTTTATGCCCTGTGTGTAAACAGTGCTGCTTCTCAGGTTTTACAGTATTGCTCTAAAATCAGCTCTTTCTGAAGAAAGCTTGTGAGAAACCAAGCCCAGTCAAGGCTAAGAAAGAGTGGACTTTGTAGAACTTGCTGCTTCCATTTCTGCCTGCTGTGGAAAACGTGACAGCATTCTTAAGTGCTGAGCACTGCAAAACGCCCTTGAGAACAAAAACATCTTTCTGATTTGTTGCAAATGCAAAGGCATATGATGCATGCGTTGAAGTGAGAGCCTTGCAATCCCTGGGTACCAGTTGCTGCTCTTCTCTTGGCCTGAGAAAGAAACTGAGCAGCCTGACAATGTTCACCCTTCCAGCAAACATGATGGCAGATGCACTTACCGTCATGTAAACTGTAAACACATTCCTCATTTGGTACTCTTTGTTCACTTTACACTGTGCTGTGATTCAGTGCTTCTAAAATCTTTAACGAGGCTTGGAGACACAGCTCAGAGAGCAGGTGTGTAACTCCTTGAAGGCCTGTGAAACAAAAGCTGCCAAGGAGGTTAATAGGGAACTCAAGACTCTTCCTAAGATACTGGCCCAAATTACAAAATATGTTGATGCAAAAGGAAAAGATACTTTTAATGCTGGATATTATGGGTTGATCAAATGCAGACCTCCTTGCTTCCCATGATGGATTTTTCTTTCTGTCAGTTCTGCACATAGAACTAAGTGTAAAGTGAGCTGAATTTCTTTGGAAGAAGTTTCTGTTCTGCAGGGGCCTAGAGGATAATGAGTATCAAGAAGAATACATTCCTGAAATGGCTCCATTTCTTCTGGTGCTGCACAGGGACTTGGTGTATGTTTCATGAAGAGCTACTCAAATCTATTCCTAACTTGATCAGCTGATTCATTGCATTGTTAAAATACCAGCTTAGGTTTTGCCAGAGTAGAGTGTGGAGTTAGTTTTCTTACATAGATTTTAATTCTAAAAATGTATTCCAGCTGTAGTCATCAACATTTGCTCAGCCTGCCCCCTTTAAGGATCAAGATACAATCACAATTTTTTTAGCTACTCATTGTTTTTCAGAATTCTGTGTCAATATATACACATCTCAACTGAATTAGTTTTCTTTCTGTGCAGACTAGATCCCATTTTCTCTCCTCCCCTCATTTTCCCTTCTATCTGCTACAAACTGTGGCACAGACTTCCCTCATTTGCTAATGTACTTGTAGGTCCTGGGACTCATTTCCAATGCAGTTTTTACCCATGGGTGGGTTCCTGTAGAGGAATATCTTAAAATCAAATTAACAAATCATGACTAAATAATTCAAACATCTTGGAAGGAAAGATTATTTTATGGACTTGGAATTCTTTGGACACTTTCTCAAACTGAGCTGTTTGTCTGAATCAAGTTCACTGTAAATAGTTTGGGGCATAACCAAGTGAATTGTGTCAGATGATGACATTACTTAAACCTAGCTGTATAACTTCTTGTGCCATAGCTGTTTCAGTAAATATGATGTAGTAGTTTAAAAATAGAATAATGGAACAAATTAATTAACATGTGTTGCTTTTCAAGACAAATTTTATTTACTTGTAGCTGAAATCCTGTTTCAAACATTGGATGGTTTTGCCAAAAAATAAGCTGGAGACTGTTAAGTTTGCAAAGGAGAGAGAGCTGTGAGGCAGCTTTCTCTTCTGGTTTTCTTGGGTAGTAGCAGGAATTACTATAAATAGGATATAGATTAACTGTCCAATATGCTTAAGAATATGAGTGAATGAACTGAAAGTTTCAGTGAATCTGGAAACTCAGCAGCCATGTTCCTTCTCTTATATCTCCCTGTAGTAATTTTTAAGAGTGAGGTTTTTTGAGTCGTGACTTTTTAATATTCTAATGCTGCAAGAGCCTGGTTTTGTGGCCTCTCTCTGGTTTTAGAGGCTCTCATGGCTAAGCCTGCAAATCTTGTTGGTGTAAATAATCTTTAAAAATTTGTGCCCCATCTGAAGCAGGACAGAACTGCAGCTGAATAAAATATGGAGTGCTGGGCCCTCTGTTTTGTGTTTTAAGAAAAGCGGTGCTTGTCTTTAATCTACTGTAAACCAAACCATTAAGCTCTTTGTAGGATTTCTATTTAAATACCTTCCTCCATGTATTTAAATACTCTTCCTCCATGTTTCGTGTTCCTGAGTTTTCGGTAGTTACTCTCTATCCAGCGTATGACACATGTACAGCTGAGGGACTGAACCTGGCCCTTGGATGCTAATGCCTGCCTCTCTCTGGATTTGGTAGAGGAGTTTTGCCTGTCAGCCTAGGGATGGTGTTTGGTCACTTGGATGTTCAGCATGGAGCCGTGGTGTGTCTGTAACAATGATAGTCATTTGTACAGCAAACAGGAAAATGGATCCCTGTGTCTGTGTAGAATAGAGACAACTTTGCACTTCAGAATTTTCTTGTCTTGCAAATTTGGTACAGTACAATATGCTTGTAAATACTCCTTCCTGTCATTTTGTTGCACTGATTTCAGTACTGTGCTATGGGTAAGGTTTTAATGGGAAACATTACTAAAATGTATTTTTAATTGTCTGTGTGTAAAACAAACTCCTGTCTCTGCCTTTAGTATTGGGGAACATGAGAGGAGGCACTAGCTCATCTGTCTTCCATGGGAATTCCAAAAGGTGAAGACTTTCTGTCTGTTGGCTGCAGGGTGAAACATTTCATCCCACCCCTGTGTCCTGTATCTAAACTGAAGTTTCAGCATTAACATAAATCCTATTCATTAACATAAATCCTATTCATCCTATCTCTAAAAAGATTCTGTCTCTAAAGATCACTCTTAAATTACCATAGTAGCATAAGTTGCTTTTTTTTTTTTTTTTCCTTTTTCTGTTTTTTCCCCTGTCACTGGCCCAGCTGAGGGAGGAATAAAGCACAGTGAGTAAGACTGGCATGGAAAAGCTCCTGCAGTGTGTACCTATCTCCAAGTTGTGAGTGCAGTGTAAAGGCCTTTCCACAGTGATCCTTGGCTTGTCTCAGACCTTTCCCTGCTGGTGATGCTCTCAAATTCAGCAAAGGTAACCCTGGCAACCCAGGGTACACTTGATTAGCTTTTTATGTAGGAAGGCCTCCCTCCTTTGGTGTTGGTGCCTTCATGGATTACAAGCGTCCAGAAGCCATCCTGTACTCTGAGTAATCCCACTTCAATGGAATCAGCTCTCAGATCACTGACCGAGCAGCCTTACTTTGTGAAGACAGTCACCATGCAATCTTAACCTTCATAGTTGTAAAATTTGTATATAGCCACGAATTTCAGAATACCATTTAAAATAAACCATCTTCAAATACCGTGTTTTGTTTCATTATTTAAAATTTTACATACAGTAGCAAGAAAGAGGCTCTGTCTTGATTGCTACTTTCTGCAATTTAATGCAACTTTGTTATTATAGAGAATACTTAATCCTTGCTTAAAGAAAGACTTAAATAAGGAAGATCCATGAATTGGGTGCCTATGGAAGTAGTTACTACAATGAAACATGTTAAATCCCGAGGCAGGAAGAGAAGAGATGGGCTTTCCAAATTCTGGTTGAGAAAAAAATAAAGTAATTAGGCAGAATGTCTTATGGCTGTGCAAAATCCCAGTACTTGCCAAGGTCTGTGACACTGTGGGATTTTCTGTTATACTATGTCAAGGGGGTTCTTTGGGGGTAACTTCTCTGATATTCTGGATGAAGCCTCACTAGCACAGCAGGCTCAGTCTTCACTGTCTGAACCAGACATGCATCTGCTGCTGTCTCCAGGAGTCCCATCTGTCTCTCAGAGCCATGTGGTGGTCTTTAATAATTTTGTTTCATGCTTCCAATCTTCCTGTCTGGCTTTCCCAAAGACGGACTCGTTTGCAATGTCTGTGTTGATGGCCCCTGGAATGTAAGGCTGCCCTTGCTTTGTTGAGTTGCTCTCAAATCTCAAGGTCAGGGACCTTGTGCGCTGTAACACCTGGACCCTCTCATCTGCTTGCCATGCTTCCCCAGTTTCTGCCAGCACCGCTTAGTCAATACCTTCTCCCCAAACATTGTCAAAACCTGCGTAACAGCACCAACAGAGCCTTCTGGAATGGATTGACAATTCCCACAGGACCCTGCTGGAGTGATGGCCACCAAGGGGCAGCAGAGCTTGTGTTTTCATGCTGTTTTTCCACACAGCTGCCCAGCACAGTGTGCACCCAGGAACAGCACTGCAGCTTTAAAATGGAAAGAAGTGTCACAAGTTACACCTTCTACATAATTTCATGTGGAACATCTCTGTAATTACTGACAGGAGGGCATTCAGGAGCCCATGCATGCTCTGTGACCAGGAGAGCAGCTACCCCTTCATTGAGGACATTGCCAAGGCCATGGAGCAGGAGCACTGACAAACACAGATGATCTCTTGCCCTGTGTCCCGGCAGCTGCTCTGTCCCAGGACCTGGCAGCCTCTCTAGGGCATCTGCCCTTTGGGAAGAAGATGCTGTGTACATCTCTGTGTGTGGAGGATCAGTAACAGGACATCACGCCATGATCAATATGATCAAGTGAAGCCAATTTATTACAAAAAGCAAGCTATATTTATACTGGTTTCTTTTGTTCACGCCTCAAACTAATGATTGGTTAAATCCTTTTACGTATGCATTTTAATATTTCAGTTAATTTTACGTAGTCTTTCTTCAAGTGTCTTGCTGCAGTTTTCTTGTCTGCCTTTGCATCCTGAAATGTCTGCTTCTGAGTGTGTTCTTCTTTTGTGTCCTTCAAGGGCACAGTGGCCTTACTCAGTTTCTATGAAGGGTGGATTGTGCATATGCTGTACATGTCCATTGT